AACGGGGGTCAACCTCGCCTCGTCGTCGCGCCGCGACGGGGGTCGGAGCGCCTTCGGCGCGCGGTGGCTGCCCGCGACGGGGGTCGATGTGGGGCTGTCGGCGGGGGTGACGCCCCCACGACGCTTATTAAGAAACTCGGAGTAGGTTTTGGGCGGATTCTGGCCTTCTTGGGGGTCTCCGCGGCCACATGGAGCCATCTGGGGTCCATCATGGGCCCTCCTGGAGGCATCTTAGAGGCCATCTTCAGCCAGCTTGGACCATCTTGCGCCATCTTGGAGGCCGTCTAAAAGCATCTGGGCCCTCTCGGGGCCCTTTTGGGCCAAAAGCCTTCCAACTATGCCCCGGAAATCCAAACTCCTTTCAAAACCCACATGTGTTTTTTTCAATGCTTTCGTTGAACATGGAGTTGTGGAAGTCGATTAACGGAGAGGAAGCATGCTGCCACATAATTTCCAGATGTCTAAACTATGTTTCAACTATGTCTTAAACATGTTTAAGCAACATGTTGAAAACATGTGTAGAACACGTTTCACACATTTTAGACACCATTTTCACACATCTGCACTGCTCTTCCACCTCCTCCACCTCCTCCTCCCCCTCCTCCTCCTCCTCCACCTCCTCCTCCTCCTTCAAACATGTAGTCCTCCTCCTCCTCCACCTCCTCCCTCTCCTCCTCCTCCTCCTCCTCCTCCTCCTCCTCCTCCTCCTCCTCCTCCTCCTCCTCTCCTTCTCCTCCTCCTTCTCCGCCTCCCCCTCCTTCTCCTTCTCCTCCTCCTCCTCCTCCTCCTTCCCCGCTGGCTGAAGTGCCGAGTGTCCCCAGTAGTGTGCGTTGAGAAGCGCTGGCCGCCAGCAGCGGCACCTCAGCCAGGCAGCACCAATGTGCCAACAGAGCCGCAGAGGATCGGATGTGTTCCTGGATGGTCGGAGTCCACAACCAGACTTGTGGAGAGAAGCCTACGAGGAGGAGGAGGGGGAGGAGGAGGAGGAGGAGGAGGAGGAGGAGGAGGGGGATGAGGACGAGAAGGAGGATAATAATGATCATAATAGTGCTAAGCACAATACTACTAGCTGTAGTAATAGCAGTGCTACTATGAAGCGAATATTACGAAGAACCCGACGTCTGGGATCCGACGGGCGGCCAAGCCGCCCGCGCAGCATCTAGTCAGAAGAAGGGGTGCTGGAGCCACCCCCTGATCGCCACGAGGACCGCGACGAAGGTGGCGTGGCGTGCGCTGCGAGGCGCACCTGAAGATGGATGTAGTGGAAGTTCTGGCTGTCTGGATATCAGCATTCATCAGAAAAGCCATCCAAACTGAACGACGACCTGTCGTGCCGCCTAAGTGGCTAATTGGATACCAGCGCTGAGGACAGTGACCATAGGACGGAACAAGCCCGTCGCATACAGGTTCATCTCGTCATCATTGTTGCTGGTACCCTGTACCTGACCTGTCGTCTTGAGCGTGGCCGAGCTCCAGTGGGGACTGGGTTGACGACGCTGTACTCGTCGCCACAGGCCCAACCCCTCGCCTGGCAGGGGAATCTATGACGATGCCGAACTTCTCGCCACAGGCCTAACCCCTCGCCTGGCAGGAGGGGGGAACCGGCGGCTCCGTACGCATCGCCACAGGCCTAACCCCTCGCCTGACAGGGGGTGGTTGAGAAGCTGCTTGAAGGGATGACGAGGCTGTACTTCTCGTACTCCTCGCCACAGCCACCTTCTCGAAAACCTCATGCCCAGGCAACTGTGCACTCCTCGCCGCAGGCACGTTCTCGCACACCCCATCCCAGGTAACTTGGCACTCCTCGCCGCAGCCGCGTTCTCGACGACGGCCCCTATGCCCAGGTAACGTCGTACTACTCGCTGCAGGCATATCCGCAGCGAGGGCAGCGGCACGACTCTGGCCCAGGACGGCGTTCTGCTCGTCGGGGGCCTGCCGCTCGTTCATCTCCTTCTGCTTTTTTTTCCGCTCGTGCAGGGCCGCCGTGCGGACCTCAGTAAGGCCCATCAGGATCAGCACGATTGCTGGAGGTCGTGACTGTGACCGGCGTGGTCTCCTCCTCCGCGATCCTCCTCAGCTGGACCGTGGCGTCGATGCCCTTGGCAAGCTTCCCGTGGGGCCCCACGCCGTGCCTCGGGTCTTGCAGTACTTCAGCGCCTCTAGCCGCAGGAGCCCCGCACACAAGGAGATCGCAGCTTGAGCTTTCGCTTCTGTTGCGCCCAAGCACCACAGACGACACAGACAAATACGGTACAGTACCACCGCTCACAGATGCGAGGTGGCCCTTCTGGTTGACTGCAATGAGCTTGTGCCCGTAGGGGACCTCGAGGAACTCGACGTGGAACGACGGGGTGCCACGGCAACCTGTGAGCTCATCACCATCTCCTTGTCGTCGAAGTTGCAAACGTTGCGAGCATTGTTGACCCAGGTCTGTGTCAACCCACTGACGCCATCCTTGCTTCCTCGTGCTGCGTACTCCCTGGAAACCAGACGATGCTCATGTTCAGCGCTCGTCATCGTCAGGGCACAATGTCAGAGCATGAGCAGCAAATCTGGCAGGTTCATGGCGCTCCCCTCACCAGCGCTCCTCACCAGCAGCACCGTGAACTCGTCGGAGACTCCAGTATGCATCTCAGCTCCAGCTTTTGCAACTCTGCCTGCGCCGATGTTGCGTCAGCCTACGATCCTCGGCACTAAGTTGCGCATACCCATCACCAGAGCGATGTGCCTTGACGTGTGTAGCCTTCTGGATGTACGGACAGCCTTCACATCATGTGCAAAGGACAGCACCACCACATATATATATATAGATATATAGAGAGAGAGTTGACTGCCAGTATCTTTTCGATATGTGCCGCTGCTGCCCTGATCGGAAGAGGAGGAGGAGGAGGAGGAGGAGGAGGAGGAGGAGGAGGAGGAGGAGGAGGAGGAGGAGGAGGAGGAGGAGGACACGGTTTCGCTGCCCCCCCGCAATCCTTAACGCGGGTTTCCCGCTTGGCGCTGTTCGGGCAGCATGGCCAGGCGCGCTCTTGCGCAGCCGAGCATCTGGAGGCGCACGGGCTTGATTCGTTCTGATTCGGCAGACGCTCGGCCTCCCAGCTCAGTGGCCAGTGCGCCAGTCGCGTGAAGACATGATCCCGCGCTCATCGAACGAGCGCTGCCCGTGGTGCGACGTTTGCGCCTAGTGCGGTTGGGGCCATTGGAATACGCGCTCGGCGCAGGGATGCATTCTACATCGCATTCGATACAACATGGTGATTGGTGCCGTGAACCAAACATTCCATTGAGGCGTCAATTGCGTTCCGTGCTTTCTGGAACCTGAATATCTTCAGCGGGCAAATTTGCCACGTTGTAAGTACGACGCATCAGATTTTGGAGTTGCCGTTGCGAACTCATGCTGCGCATGGCTTATGCTTGCTTTTCGAGGTTCGCGCTGTAATACGAGTGCGCGCTCGGCGCGGCTGTATCCATAGTAGCTGAATGAGCGCACATATGTGTTTCATTCGCTTCAGTGGTTCAAGTCGGCATGCGCTCTTGACGTAGTCCTTTGAGCCAAAGCGCAGCGCTGTCAGGTAGGCCTCTGCCGCTTGGGCTCTTGGTTGTTCCTAGACTTTGAATTCATGATAACGCGCCGCGTTCCTAAGCGGCACGGAAATTGCTCGCCTTGCAGTTGTTCAAACTTGCGAGAGGAGGCAGAGCAAATTATGCAGTTCTGCTGAAGTTGTATGTCGCCAGCCTAGTGACACGTATTTGGCGAGTCGATCTTGTGGCTGCTCGGCACGTGCATTCCACTGACCTGCGAGAACCTGAGGCCGTCCTGGTCCGCTCTGGGCACGACTTTGACGATTCCGGCAATCTGTAGGGTGTCTTGGAGACCATTTTGGACACTCCTCGGCCAATGCCCGAATTTTATGAGGAAGTTTCCGCATGTGTCCGCATATGTTCTGCCAGGTTGAATGCGCGCGCCCGCCACCTATGCGTCCACGCACGTTCTGCCAGGCCGGCTGTGACACCGATGTGTCCACATACGTTCTGCCACCGATATGTCCAGATACGTTTTGCCAGGTGGAACGTGAGCACCGTCCAGCCTATCCAGAAACGACGCCCAGCCGAGGTGAGGTGATCAGGGAAGTGTAGGAGCAATGAGAGGGGATATTGTTATCGTCCGAAGGAGGACGAGGATGGATGGATGGACGGGGAGGAATTAATAATACGCGATAATCGGATGATGATGATGATGATGCTGCTGCTGATGATGATGCTTATGATTATGATTATTCAGATTATGATGCTGCTGCTGATGATGACGGTGATGATGACATTAATGACGATGAATTTGATGATGCTGATGATGGTGATGACGATGATGTTGATGATGATGCTGATGATGACGAGGCTGATGACGATGCTGGTGATGATGCTGCTCATGCTGCTGATGATGCTGATGGTGATGATGCTGATGCTGATGCTGATGATGATGGTGGTGATGATGATGCTGCTGCTGCTGCTGATGATGATGATGATGATGATGATGATGATGAACATCATCATGCTTATGATTATGGGTATGATGATGCTGATGCGGTTGGTGATGATGATGGTAATGAGGAGGAGGGATGAGAGAGTATGTAGCGAGAAGGAGTAAGAGTAAACGGTTGGGTCTCGCCCGTCTTGTTGAGACGCCATCCGTCTCGTTGGGATTTTTCTCCATCGCCCCCCCCTGGCGCCCGGGCCTGTGCACGAAAGGGGTCTTGATGCCGATTCTGGCCGGCTTGATTTGGTCCGATCCCGATATTCCGACGATCCGATGCGGCCCGTGGCGCTGTTGTGTATCTTGGCACTGCTTGTCCACTTCGATGTCGACCCCGTGCCGAAGCAGCCCGATCCAATGCACATTCGAATTCGATCTGATTTTCCGATTCGATGAGGTCTGGCTCGGTTCGTCCTTGCTGCTCCTCGATCATTCTTCATGCCCCTGTGCGTGGTGTTGGGGGCACCAGGAGCTCCCCAGCAACCCGGTGATCATAGGCAGCGCGCGCAGCAACGCCACTGGGTGATATTGCGTGCGCGGATTTGCAGGGAGTTGGTGGATGGGACTGAGGCCTCTGATGGACGAGCGGGAGGAGGGGAGCGCTGGTGAGTGGTGATGGGGAGGATCCCTCTCTCTCTCTCTGTGCTGCGTGAAACATGGTTGTGCGGGCCTGTCGCATTGCAGGTCCTCTTTTCGCTCAGTGTGCAGATCGATGGATGCAGAGGGCGAGTGAGAAACAACGAGGGGTACACAGGAGGCTAATGGGGGAGAAGGAGGCTCATGAGGAGGACGACGACAAGGAAGGACGAGGAGGACGAGGAGAAGGACGAGGAGGTGGAGGAAGAGGAGGAGGAGGAGGAGGAGGCGGAGAAGGACGAGGAGGACGAGGACCAGGAACACGAGGAGGACGAGGACGAGGAGGACGTAGCCGAGCCTCTCAACACCACTTTCCGACCCCTCACAACTAGAGCTGGGTTTCAGCCACTGCCGCAACCGCTTCTGCAACCCCTCCATAACTCCTCTCCTCTATTAGAGTTTCAGTCGCAGGGCCGTCCGCCGTCTCGTCGCTCCCCTCTCCCCTCCCTCCCTCGCAACCTCCATGGGTAGGCGGAGATCTCGTGTAGCGCGTTCCTCCCCCTGGAGGGTGCTGCCTGGCGCACCTCCTGCTGCAATTCCCCCCCTCCCCTGCTCTTCTTTCCGCCCCACCCAGCGGCGAAGGCCGTTGACGGGGGAGGGAGTAGGGCTGCGCTCCGTGAGGCACCAAGGCTCGCAGGACCCAGCAGCGAGGAGGCCGAGAAGGATGGCGGCGAGGGGCCTGACCGACACTTGTGTGCGGGGGGCCGAGGTCGGCTTCGCGCCCCGCGGCTGCTCGACCGCCCGTCCTGCAACGGCAGCCCACGCTCCTCGCGCGCTCTCTCTCTCCTCCGCTCCCGTCGGCCCCATGCCTCTGCAGGTGCCGCTCCGCCTCCTCCGCGCCCTCCGCCTCCGCCTCCGCCTCCGCCTCAGCCTCCGCTTCCGCCTCCTCCGCCTCCTCCTCCTCCTTCTCCTCCTCCTCCTCCTCATCATCATCCTCTCGCAACGGCTCTCGCTGTCGGCAGTGCTGGGGCTAGTGCAGGGGCGAGCAGGGACGCACTACCAAGTGGCACGGGCAGCCGTGCGGAAGGACGTCGACGATTGTGCCCGCAAGGCCTTCACAGGCTCGATGGCTACCGCCCATTGCTACTTAGGCCGCCCCGCTCCCCGCGCCCTCAGCGCGGCGACGATCCATCTAGACACGGCGGGCTTCGCCAGTGGCGCTATGTAGGACGCCACCGACTTGCGTTCCGACGAGTGGAGTGGCAGAAGCGCTGGCAGCGGCACCAAGGTAAGAGCCACGCCCCGGTAGAGTCTATGAGCCATCTGCGCCGACGGGCACATGCCGAACTGGAGACTCGCGCCCCACTCGACCTGGACCAAATGGACCAGGCCCTCCGCGTTTTCCCGGCCATGACGGGCCGCGGCGCGGACCAGTGGCGGCCCCGCGAGCGATTGCTGCTATCTGCAGCTGCGCGCCAATCTTTGGTGGAGCTGCCCAACGCCTGCAATGGGCGACTCTCTTGGCCCAGGCAGTCCGCCCGCATGTGGTACGTGCTCCTGCAGAAATGAGACTCCGACGCGGCCGGCATGGAACGGCCCACCGGCCTCGTACCATTCCCAGCGAGGGCCTGGGGCAACGTACGGACAGGGCCTTTGCCGCGTTGGCGTGAGGAGCGCGCCAGCTTCTGGGACGCCGCCGCCAATGAGGGCTCTGTCTCGCGGCAGACCGCGGTCCTCTCCTCCGCCTTCGATGCGGTCGCAACGCAGGCCCCCTCGCGGCCCATGCCGCGTCCTTCGTCGACCTGGACGAGTTCTGCGACTCCATTGAGCTCGGCTGCATCGTGCGCAAGGCGGAGGACCTGGAACACCCGGCGGCGGACCTTTACCTCACCCTCCGCCTGTGCCCTGCGCCGCGCGCCTGCAGAGCTGGCAGAGCGCAGGGCTGCCAGCCAGCCTGGCCAGCAGCTTGGGTGGCGGGCGAGCCCGCCGCCGACCCTCCGGCCCCCGGGAGGCCTGACGATGTCCTGGAGGCGGTCCGCAGAGCCCCGCCCACGGCCTTCCTCGGGCAGCTCGTCGACGATGTTGCGGTCATGGCAGAGGGGCAGAAGACTGCCGTGTGCGAGGCCACGTGCGCGGGGGCCGTTGCCCGCCACCTCGAGGCCCGGGTGCAGCCGCGACCAGGCCCCGCCCGCCGCGCCGCGCCGGGCGCACGCGCAGCAGGCTGACCAGGCGGGCGTCGCGGTGGGCCACCGCTGCACCGCCACCCTGATGCACGCGTTCTGGAAAAATCCCAGACATCGGGCGTCTCGGAAAAAATCCCAGACAGCAGGCTGACCAGACTGGCGTCGCGGTGGGCCACCGCTGCACCGTCCACCCTGATGCCCGCCATCCCAGACATCGGGCGTCTCGGAAAAATCGAGACGGAGGTCTTTCGTGGCTTTCGGCCTCTCGAGGCCCTCGCCGGGCCTCGGGACCGTCAGAAAGCGACTCGGGACGAGAAACCGGTCCCGGGGAAGTGGTCGGGAGGTCGGGGGCCCGTGTCTCGAAAAAATCGAGACGTCGGATGTCTGGGATTGCAGCTTCAAGGCCCAGGTCACTCACTGGGTCAAGCTGCTGTGCGGCGGCCTCCCTGCTGAGCTCCGCCCGAAGGTGCGGCAAGGCTGGGCAGCCGTGCGGGACCATCTCGGCAGGGTGCGTCCTGGTGGCGGGCCGCCACGGGACCGTTGGCCAGCCTCCAGCTTGGGCTTGCCAACCTGGGCTGGGATCCTCAGACAGCTGGCTGGACCACTGCCGCGCCTCGACGGCGAGGACACCCACCCAGACCACTCCGCCATCCAGGAGGCGCTCAGAGAGTCGGTCGACCAGCAGCTGTGACGACAGGCCGGTGCGCAGCCTGATGGAGAGGGCCTCGGTGCAGGGGCCAGCTTCGCCTACTTACACCGCCCGGCCCGCTACATGCGCAAGTGCGGCCATACCAGGAGGCCAGTGTGCTCGAGGTCGTGGCAGCAGCCGCAGTCTGGACTGGCGAGCGCTGCGGCGTGGCTGACCTTGGAGACGGCGGTAACCAGGCATCCTGGATTCGCTGGGCCCTCCCGCAGGGCTGCGGCGACGTGCCGCCGCCGCCGCCGCCATGGGACACCCTTCCCCAGCAGTGCTGGGCTGTCGACTGCCCCGACGCCGTCGTATGGACCCGCGACGGCTGGCTACGAGGGCAGCGTGCCGCCTTCAGCAAAGCCCACCTGGACGAACCGGTAAACGACACTGATAGACTGATAGCCAGGTGGCCCGCGCTGGCTGGGGCGTATGCTTCGGCCCTCCGCAGACAGAGACATACCGGGATTCTTCGGTCGCTTGGGCCCGCCTCGGAAAACTTCCGCTGCCGAGCGAGCTCGCAGCTCTGCTGTGGGCGCTCAGGCTCACCGGAGGGGCCTTCGTCCTGTGGGCCGACTGCCAGCTGGTCCACGACGGCTGACATACGGGACGGCCCGCTGGTGGCGCAGGATCGCTGCAACTTTGCAGGAGCGACCTGGAGGAGCCGCAGGAATGGTATTGCGCAGGTGCTACTCCCACCTCGACGCTGCCGACCTAGCGGAGGTGGGCCAGGCCGAGGCCGTCACCCTCGGAAGCCAACTTGCCAACGCTCTGGCGCAGCGCGGGGCAGAGCTCGCGGCCAGTGAGAGCGCCCCCCAGGTGCGCGTCCGACGCGAGCAGGAGGCCCTCCTGGCCAGGTTTCGCCGCCGCCTTGGGGCGATCAACGCCGTGGTCTGTGGCGAGCCCCCCGAGCGCCTGGACTTCTAGGGCCCTGCGGCGTTACATGTGCGCCAGAAGCAGCTAGCTGATGCGGGGGGCCGCTGCAGGCAGCGCGGCCAGGGCGGCAAGATGGAGCCCGTTGGCACTGCCGCCGCTGTTGGAAAGGCCCTAGCAAGTGGCAAGGTACGGCCTCACCGACTGGCGGCTGGACCAGCCTGCGTGCCCGGGGCCCCCATTCGACCTGGAGCACGCCGTGGACCGCACCGTCCTGGTGCCTGCCCAGAGAGTGCGCCGCCTCCCCATCGCGGGCAGGGCGCCGCAGCACTCGCGCACGACGGCGGCCATGCGCGGCCAGCTGTGGTGCTGGCGCTGCGGGCCGTCGGCGCGATGCCTGCTGACGGCACTTGCGAGCTCCGCCTCCTCGTGAGCGCGGGCCGCCGGCCAGGCTCCGGCGTGGTCTCCTGCCGACAGCCAGGCACGCCACCGGCCAGACGGCTCGAGCCCGCCGGCCCGCGGCTGCCTCAGGTTGGCCACCGTGGCACCCCCGGCCAGTGAGAGCGGCGACGGACTTTCGCCAGCCGTGCGCCGGATGAGTGCGCGTCTGGCCTCAGGATCGGCCCTCGAGACCCTCTGCCCACAGCCAGGGGCAGCGAAGCAGTCGTCAAGAGGCCCCCCGACGAGCACCCCGACGCGCCTGCCGGGCAACGGCGCCCACGCGCAGCCCACGGAGGACGCCTTGAGGCGGACAGAGCCTGCCCCACGGCAACGGCGTCCAGACCGTTACGCTCCCAGGTGCGCATCCCGGCCCCAGTCTGACGACCCCTGGAGGTGCAGCATCAGGATGGCGTGTAGGCGCGGTGGCTGGGGGCATGTCCGAGTCCATGGCGGCGGCCCCCCCAAGCCTTGGGCGCGCTGCCTTGCGGGCGCTCGGGCAGCTTCTCCCAGGCTCCGCGGCGCTGGCCTCCAGGGTGGCCTGCCGCGAGGTGGTGGCGGCGGCTGCTGCACTACAGCCACCTGCAGGCGGCGGGCGGCTGCCGCAAATGGGTCGAGGGTTAAGTCGGGCCTGTCCCTCTACGGGGGGAACATTCAAAAATAGTGAAAATAGCATGGGGACATTTATATATATATATATATATATATATTCCTTCTACCTATCAAATTACAAGGAAAA